AGTTCTGGATTTAGGCATTTCTCCAGGCTTGTTCCAGTCAGGGAACGGACCAAATCTGGACCATTCATGTTTTTTGAGGACTGGCCTGGGAGCCACAGGTGTAGAGAAATGATGGCTGCAGGTTTAGATTGTGAACGGATGGCAAGTTGTTTTGAAATGCCCATTGTTTAAGCTGTGAAAACGTCTCTTCTGATATGCTTTTAACCCTTTTCTGTGCTAACCTCTCTGGACTGGAAAGGGTTAACGAGGTCTGTATATATTAGTGAGGCGTGTAAGGTCTCTGGCGTTATGTGAACATTAATATTAACCTTGGGCTGTGGGATACAAAGTACCTTTTTGTTTTTTTGTCTTATGCTTAACAAGTGTCTGGCTTTAAATCAATGCTGTTAGGCTCTTGTTAAATGGGGATGTGATGTCACCGCCAGATGAAGCTGGTTGCTATGGAGACTGGATGACGGAAAGGGAAATCTGACGCTTAAGTAGGAACTGCGCAAGAAAAATATTGCTTACGCTGAATAAAGTGTTATTAAAAGATCATTTTACCAAGGCCCCTGCTCCTGAAGGTGACCTCAACACTTCATCCAGGCGACCCATTTAAATGTTCAATGTATTGCCACGCCTGACAGCCATGATGGATAGGAAGACTACAATACCCATAATGCTTCGGGCATCCTTCATAAAGAAATTAGCTGTTGTAATTGCTTTTGGGAGGGTGGTAGTTGAGGGGATATGTTCTTTCAGGTATCCATTGCTCAGTCCATACATTTTATGCAGTATTAATAGTGAGACACACATTGCTCAGTCCATATGTTGGGAGCAGTGTTAATAGTGAGACACACATTGCTCAGCCCATATGTTGGGAGCAGTGTTAATAGTGAGACACACATTGCTCAGCCCATATATTGGGAGCAGTATTAATAGTGAGGTACACATTGCTCAGTCCATATATTGGGAGCAGTATTAATAGTGAGACACCCATTGCTCAGCCCATATATTGGGAGCAGTATTAATAGTGAGGTACACATTGCTCAGTCCATATATTTTATGCAGTATTAATAGTGAGACACACATTGCTCAGTCCATATATTGGGAGCAGTATTAATAGTGAGACACACATTGCTAAGTCCATATATTGGGAGCAGTGTTAATAGTGAGACACACATTGCTCAGCCCATATATTGGGAGCAGTATTAATAGTGAGACACACATTGCTCAGCCCATATATTGGGAGCGGTATTAATAGTGAGACACACATTGCTAAGTCCATATATTGGGAGCAGTGTTAATAGTGAGACACACATTGCTAAGTCCATATATTGGGAGCAGTGTTAATAGTGAGACACACATTGCTCAGCCCATATATTGGGAGCAGTATTAATAGTGAGACACACATTGCTCAGCCCATATATTGGGAGCGGTATTAATAGTGAGACACACATTGCTAAGTCCATATATTGGGAGCAGTGTTAATAGTGAGACACACATTGCTAAGTCCATATATTGGGAGCAGTGTTAATAGTGAGACACACATTGCTCAGCCCATATATTGGGAGCAGTATTAATAGTGAGGTACACATTGCTCAGTCCATATATTGGGAGCAGTATTAATAGTGAGACACACATTGCTCAGCCCATATATTGGGAGCAGTATTAATAGTGAGACACACATTGCTCAGTCCATATATTGGGTGCAGTATTAATAGCGAGGTACACATTGCTCAGTCCATATACTGGGAGCAGTATTAATAGTGAGGTACACATTGCTCAGTCCATATATTGGGAGCAGTATTAATAGTGAGACACACATTGCTCAGTCCATATATTGGGAGCAGTATTAATAGTGAGATAAGCATTGCTCAGTCCATATATTGGGAGCAGTATTAATAGTGAGACACACATTGCTCAGTCCATATATTGGGAGCAGTGTTAATAGTGGGATAAGCATTGCTCAGTCCATATATTGGGAGCAGTATTAATAGTGGGATAAGCATTGCTCAGTCCATATATTGGGAGCAGTATTAATAGTGAGACACACATTGCTCAGTCCATATATTGGGAGCAGTGTTAATAGTGGGATAAGCATTGCTCAGTCCATATATTGGGAGCAGTATTAATAGTGGGATAAGCATTGCTCAGTCCATATATTGGGAGCAGTATTAATAGTGAGACACACATTGCTCAGTCCATATATTGGGAGCAGTGTTAATAGTGGGATAAGCATTGCTCAGTCCATATATTGGGAGCAGTATTAATAGTGGGATAAGCATTGCTCAGTCCATATATTGGGAGCAGTATTAATAGTGAGACACACATTGCTCAGTCCATATATTGGGTGCAGTATTAATAGCGAGGTACACATTGCTCAGTCCATATACTGGGAGCAGTATTAATAGTGAGGTACACATTGCTCAGTCCATATATTGGGAGCAGTATTAATAGTGAGACACACATTGCTCAGTCCATATATTGGGAGCAGTATTAATAGTGAGACACTCATTGCTCAGTCCATATATTGGGTGCAGTATTAATAGTGAGGCACACATTGCTCAGTCCATATACTGGGAGCAGTATTAATAGTGAGACACACATTGCTCAGCCCATATATTGGGAGCAGTATTAATAGTGAGACACTCATTGCTCAGTCCATATATTGGGAGCAGTATTAATAGTGGGATAAGCATTGCTCCGTCCATATATTGGGATCAGTGTTAATAGTGGGATAAGCATTGCTCAGTCCATATATTGGGAGCAGTATTAATAGTGAGGTACACATTGCTCAGCCCATATATTGGGAGCAGTATTAATAGTGAGGTACACATTGCTCAGCCCATATATTGGGAGCAGTATTAATAGTGGGATAAGCATTGCTCAGTCCATATATGGGGTGCAGTATTAGTCACTCTGATTTTTATATTCCGTTATTCATTGCCCAGTCCATACATATTGCTCCAGATCTTGATAAAGACCTCAGTTGAGGTTGAAACGTGGCTTTTGTTTTTAATTGATCTGAATCTGTAATAAACCTGCCACGGTCATTGCTTTGAGTGCCGGATCTTATTGTATTTTTCACTTATGAATTGGGGTTTTACCAGCCACAGATCTGGGTTTGGCACTTTTGCTTTCTGTTTAAGCTGAGGGCGGACTCTGCACCGATACCATATGGACTGGCAACGTCCTCACTATACAAAACTCTTCATTCAGCCTTAGTCTCAGTCTTTGGATGATACATAAACGGGAAGATACATTTAAGTTTTTTTTACTGACTGATCACTTAAGAAATGTATCCAGATATGATGAAATCTTTCAATGAAAGTGTCTAGACACTACTTTCAACTGTGTATCTAATTTGTTGGCTAAAGCCTGGCTTTACTACTGACTGCAGGAAGTTGGTTTGTGTAATTATCGTTCAATTAGGATACTATAGAAATGGTTGTGTTGGTAAATGCTCCCACAGTTGTTACTTATTTGAAAGCCCGTCACTCTGTCTTCAGGATTTTGGGACCGTATGCGTGGTCTTAGCCATCCAGATGTTTGGAGTACATTTCCTAAGATGCTCAGACATCAGGGCCCGCATCTCTTACTAGCAAAGTGTATTGATTCATAGTGAAACCACGGCATTTTAATGTTAAATTGTATTTAGGGCTTAGCGTTTCTAATAATTGTTTGTCAGGTGTGGACAGAAGATAAAACCTAAGGTTTTGAAAAATGTCAACTTCTATTCAGAAAACTTTTGAAAACTCTTGACATTTTTAGTCGTTCAATAGTGGGTGTATTTTTAGGGTCACCCCGGGAGTCGCAGAATGTTTCGGATCTTTCAGTGTACATCTTTTGTGTTCTAACCCGGGAGTCGCAGGACGTGTCGGATCTTTCAGTGTACATCTTTTGTGTTCTAACCCGGGAGTCGCAGGACGTGTCGGATCTTTCAGTGTACATCTTTTGTGTTCTAACCCGGGAGTCGCAGGACGTGTCGGATCTTTCAGTGTACATCGTTTGTGTTCTAACCCGGGAGTCGCAGGACGTGTCGGATCTTTCAGTGTACATCGTTTGTGTTCTAACCCGGGAGTCGCAGGACGTGTCGGATCTTTCAGTGTACATCGTTTGTGTTCTAACCCGGGAGTCGCAGGACGTGTCGGATCTTTCAGTGTACATCTTTTGTGTTCTAACCCGGGAGTCGCAGGACGTGTCGGATCTTTCAGTGTACATCTTTTGTGTTCTAACCCGGGAGTCGCAGGACGTGTCGGATCTTTCAGTGTACATCGTTTGTGTTCTAACCCGGGAGTCGCAGGACGTGTCGGATCTTTCAGTGTACATCTTTTGTGTTCTAACCCGGGAGTCGCAGGACGTGTCGGATCTTTCAGTGTACATCTTTTCTGTTCTAACCCGGGAGTCGCAGGACGTGTCGGATCTTTCAGTGTACATCGTTTGTGTTCTAACCCGGGAGTCGCAGGACGTGTCGGATCTTTCAGTGTACATCGTTTGTGTTCTAACCCGGGAGAGGCAGGACGTGTCGGATCTTTCAGTGTACATCGTTTGTGTTCTAACCCGGGAGTCGCAGGACGTGTCGGATCTTTCAGTGTACATCGTTTGTGTTCTAACCCGGGAGTCGCAGAATGTGTCGGATCTTTTAGTGTACATCGTTTGTGTTCTAACCAAGGAGTCGCAGGACGTGTCGGATCTTTGTGCGTACATCTTTGTGTTCTAACCCGAGTCGCAGGACGTAAGTCGGATCTTTCAGTGTACATCTTTTGTGTTCTACCCCGGGAGTCGCAGGACGTGTCGGATCTTTCAGTGTACATCTTTTGTGTTCTAACCCGGGAGTCGCAGGACGTGTCGGATCTTTCAGTGTACATCGTTTGTGTTCTAACCCGGGAGAGGCAGGACGTGTCGGATCTTTCAGTGTACATCGTTTGTGTTCTAACCCGGGAGTCGAGGACGCGGTCGGATCTTCTAGTGTACATCGCTTGTGTTCTGAACCCGGGAGCCGCAGACGGTCGGATCTTCTAGTGTACATCGCTTGTGGTGTTCAACCCGGAGTCGCAGGACGTAGTCGGATCTTCAGTGTACATCGCTTGTGTTCTAACCCGAGTCGCGAGGACGCGGTCGGATCTTTCAGTGTACATCTTTTGTGTTCTAACCCGGGAGTCGCAGGACGTGTCGGATCTTTCAGTGTACATCGTTTGTGTTCTAACCCGGGAGTCGCAGGACGTGTCGGATCTTTCAGTGTACATCTTTTGTGTTCTAACCCGGGAGTCGCAGGACGTGTCGGATCTTTCAGTGTACATCTTTTCTGTTCTAACCCGGGAGTCGCAGGACGTGTCGGATCTTTCAGTGTACATCGTTTGTGTTCTAACCCGGGAGTCGCAGGACGTGTCGGATCTTTCAGTGTACATCGTTTGTGTTCTAACCCGGGAGTCGCAGAACGTGTCGGATCTTTCAGTGTACATTTTTTGTGTTCTAACCCGGGAGTCGCAGAACGTGTCGGATCTTTCAGTGTACATCGTTTGTGTTCTAACCCGGGAGTCGCAGAATGTGTCGGATCTTTTAGTGTACATCGTTTGTGTTCTAACCAAGGAGTCGCAGGACGTGTCGGATCTTTGTGTCTTTGTGTTCTAATGTTTTTAACTCTGTAATAATACGTTGTTCCCATAAAAGTGTCCTGCATTCGTAGTTCAATTTAAAGACGTAGTGACCTGATCTTTGTTTGTTTTCAGTCTGTTAGTACCGATCACTATCTTGTTTGGGCAAACCTGTTCCAATACTTTTGCTTTCACTTTTCTAGAGTCTTTGGGCAAACCATTATTTACTTAATACATGTGCATATTGCAGGGCCGATAATCTTATTGGGTTATGAATAACAAAATATCCAGATTCCAACAATTGAAATGGTTTACATATACACTTTTAATAACGTATTAATCTCGTCAGAAAATATTTTCCAGCATGCATTTGCTTTGCTTTCCTGAATGACTTCTAATAAATATTTTAGAAAAATTTATTTTGTTCCTTTTTAGTTTATTAAAAAAAAAAAAAAAGCTACCGCTATTTAAACAATCGGTTTGTTGCCCGTTTTCAACATTGCTGTGTATAGTCCTGGCTGGAATTTTCATATCAGTGATGCTAACTTGTTTCAGGACTCGACTGATGCAGACATATGCATGGGGGAAAAAGGGGATAAATGGTATGTATAAATTCTTTAATGTTCATTTAGTATTACAGTGGAACCTTGGAACTCGAACGGGCCCGTTCAATACGGAAGTCGAACATAACTGTAGAGTAAAAAATGTACCCGAACATAAAAGAGCCGTTCACAGGGGCCATGTGACCCCACCAGGATGTGACCCCACCAGCCAGCTCTCACCCCTCCCCTCCCCCCCCAATTTCACTGTCCAGCTGGGAGGCCATGAGTGCACACTCCGCTCTCACTGGGATTGCCTGAGTGTGGTTGGCGGCTAGCGGACAGTGAGTTCACCATGGAAGACAAACTTTCCCAGGACATGGACCCAAGTACCTCCTCCGCTTCATCATCCTCATCACCTTCCTCTTCAGGCTCAGAGACCTTGTCTGAGGGGGACCCCAAAACCTCAACTGAGGAGAGCTATACTGACTGTGACTCTGAGGGTCCCCACTCCCCCCAGCAAGGGGGAGCAGAGAAGAGATCTGCAGCGGGTCAGGACGGAGGAGAGCACAGAGGAGAGCTGCAGGGGGGCAGGACAGAGGAGATTGCACACAATCTAATTTGAGAATTATTTTTAATGCATGCAGGACTTAACCCTGCAAGCTAATTATTATTTATAAAACCTGCAATAATTACACTTGCAGGGTGATGGGAGTTGGTGCCCAGACCTTTCCAATGGGCAGAAGTGGTCTGGATGCCTGGAGCAGCAAAATTCGGATAAATGCCAGTTAAAGCTGTAAGTATTTTATCTTGCTGCTGAGTACCCTGGGAATCACAGCCAAACCATTTAGTTTTTGTGGATTTCATTTAGTGTGTTTGTCATGCAGTTTAATTATTAAGTTTTCTTACATAGCAATCAAGCAAGACCACTTAATGTTATCTCACATATATATTATTCTTATTATAGCCAAATTTGCCACCCTAACTCCTCCCACAGTTTTTACACTACATAGACAAAAATTTACCAAAACGTTCAGATTGTTCCCGATCGGATTGCTATTACTTTGTGGAACGTTTCGCCGAATGGTTCACGGAATATCGTCATTCTTGTGGCGAAATCTGTCCCATAGGAATGAATGGCAAAGCTAGAGTGGAAGCTGGCAAAAGCTGAAAAATCAGGACATGATTTCTAAACTGCCACCACTCCCTTATTTTCAGGCCCACCTACACAAATCTTATATCAAAATGTTCAGCTATCCCTGCTGCCACTAAACATGTCAACGGCTAAGCCATAGGCCTGATAGTTTTCACAATATAATCATTTGTTTGCAACGAACGCCGTCCATTGACATTCATTGAAACTTCACTCTACAAAGCTCAAATTTGAAGTGCAATTTCTAAACTGCGACTGTGCCTTCATTTTTAATACTTCAGAGACCTACTATGTATCAAAATGTAGGTCTGGGTCTTGTGATTCTCACAATATAAAGCTCTTCGCCGTAGGATTTATAGTTTTTAAAATACAACCGTCTGAAAATGGCAACCGCCAAAATACTCTGACCTGTGCCAGGCTGCAGCAGCAAGTGATGTCATAGACAGGGCCTTTTATACACCTGCGAATGTTTTTATAAATGTATGGTTTAATGTAACTGTGCAACAACGTTTCAATTAAATGTGCTTTATAAATAAATAATACAGTTACTCCGCCCACTCCAGTTGGAGACTACTGGTGGAGGCAAGAACACGTCACACAATATCCCCCAAAATTTTAGCTTTCTAGTTGAATTTGCTGGGTTTGCCAAGGTCCCCCCACTGTCCTCACTGTGAACATTCAATCTGGCTCACCTTAAATGCTCTGAATGGGGTTACACTGAGCAAAATTAGGAAGTCACAAGTTGGCAGCTTTTTAAGTTTTCAGCAGAAATCGATTCTGAGTAGCACCAAGACTTTCTCATTGTGTCACCTGTTATTCAGAGACCCACCACAGACTAAGCTGTGCGTTATTGGCTGTTGGGACTTGGAATAATCTGGCACCAATTTTTGATTTTTTTTTTCAGGAGGGTGCAGTCAATAAGGCATTTTGTGTATTTCAGATATTATGAACTTGAGGAATTTTTTGTTAAAGGACCACTATAGTGCCTTGAGGGTGCCCCCACTCCCGTGGCGCTGAGGGGGGGGGCGGGGAGGAAGGGGTTAAACTTTCCTCTTTCTCCAGCGCTGGGCGGGGAGCTCTCCTCCTCCTCTCCTCCTCTTCGGCTGAATGCGCAAGCGTGCGCATTCAGCCAGTCTCATAGGAAAGCATTTACAGTGCTTTCCTATGGACGCTGGCGTCTTCTCACTGTGATTTTCACAGTGAGAAGTGCGGAAGCCCTCTAGCGGCTGTCAAGAGGCAGCCACTAGAGGCTGGATTAACCTGTTTATAAACATAGCAGTTTCTCTGAAACTGCTATGTTTAAAAAAAAAAAAAAAGGGGGTTAACCCTAGCTGGACCTGGCACCCAGACCACTTAATTAAGCTGAAGTGGTCTGGGTGCCTATAGTGGTCCTTTAATGTACAATTGAATAGTTTGCAGCATATATTGTGAGATGGAATCCTGATCTCGTTTAGCTGTTTGTTTCTCGTGGACTCGAGGTTGGTGACTTTATTTTTGAAACATTGAATGCTAAGTCAGCATGCAGAAAGTGATTGCGACTGGGGGGCAGGATGGAGAGGGCTGAGAGCGGGGGGCAGGATGGATAGGGAAGAGTAGGTCAGGGAGTAATGAGGACGAAGTGGGGCCATAATGGTGTAGATGGCAAGAACTGTGTAGTCTGGATGAAAATTAAAAAGGTATAACAATAAAGTGTCGTTCTCTTATGATAATGCACTTTTAGAGGAAGCATGTATAGAAATGTGTGAAGTGAACATGTTTCTATCTAATTAAGAACTCCCCCTGGCTGTTACCATTTACATTGATGTTTTGGACAAAATAGATTCTACATGATGTTTAACTTGTTTCCCAAGTTAAAGCCTAAGGATATTGTATAGTATTACAGGGCTATAGGTAAAAGAACACCTTACCTTCCAGGTGCATTACCCCATCCCAATATGCGTGCTAAGGGGATCAGGCAAGCTGTTTGGGGCTCCCACCGGAGGAGTCATGCCCCTTGGTGTTTGACTAGTCCATAATCCTTGATGCACCCCTAAAAATGTAATCTTAAGTAGTTTCCTCATCCGACGGTCTGACGCGAACTCTGTTTGTTTATCGGTCTCCCTAAAGGACTGGATGCAGTGGTTATCAATATCAACACTTTTCCAGATGACGGCTCACTTCAATGACTAAAACCTTCCAGATTCACACCTAGTATTTTTTATATTGGTCATGGGCCTAAAAAGATCATATAGACACGTATCTTTACCAAAGAGTTAAGCATTCTGTATAGTTTATACTTCTAGCTAAATCCGCGTACCAGTTTTCATTGTCAGAATTGAATTACAGTTTTCATGCAGACTCTTCCTAAATATTGCAATGGTTATAAACCGTATTCAGCCATGAACTTGTGACACAATGTGGGAAAAGCCACTACTATTTTGGGTGCAAAGCGTTAAATGTGAGACATTCTATTGGAGTAATGGGTCATACGTGGTTTGGGGTGTACTCTCCGGAGTTCATGGTCTGCCATCTTGGAATCTGGGAGTTCCATTCCTCTCTGTATCTCATTGTCATCAGTTTGTGTTTCTGCCAAGTCATGACAGTATGAAACGGTTAATGGATCCTAGGCCCATGTTTATCTTCTCAAACAGGGCAAAAAGCAATATTTAATTAAACCCATAGCCCACCTTCACCACCCCAGATTATTAAACTCTGCCCTCCGTTACATTATACGCAAGTTATGCCAAACCCTAAACCAATGGATAATCTATATGTTGTAGATAATTAATAACCTAAGGTAATGTGTACATTAGCTCTATCTGTAGAGTGCAATGACAGATCACAAAGCTTTATACAAAGATTGCAATTAAGTGAAATACTGACAATACCGTCGGCATAAACATAAAATATTAGTCACTTCGGCTGAGGCCTATGAGAACGTTGATGGCAGAGGCTCTTAGATGTATCTCTGTATGCAGTGTCCATGAGCATCATTTTAAATCCATTTTTGTATTTGAGCTAATCATTCATTGGTCACAGTGAATAAATATATACCAGAGCTGAGGTTATTGACTTTACTGCAAGCTTTGAGCATGACTGCTCATTTTAAAGGCACAGTGACCTTGGTTCAGACAGTGTGACATTGCATGCTTATTCCTATAGACATTCTGGGGCTCATTTTACAGCAAGTAGCTTGTGATTGCGGCGGGAGCCTAAAAGGTGAATCGATTGTTTGTCTTGTCCAAATCCAGTTCTTTCCAAATTCTTTCTACTAGTCCTTACAACAAAATGCACACTGCAGTCCA